CATTTATAAAATTACCGTTTATAAAATTACCGTTTATAAAATTACCGTTTATAAAATTACCGTTTATAAAATTACTGTTTATAAAATTACCGTTTATAAAATTACCGTTTATAAAATTACCGTTTATAAAATTACCGTTTATAAAATTACCGTTTATAAAATTACCGTTTATAAAATTACCGTTTATAAAATTACCGTTTATAAAATTACCGTTTATAAAATTACTGTTTATAAAATTACCGTTTATAAAATTACCGTTTATAAAATTACCATTTATAAAATTACCGTTTAAAATTACCGTTTATAAAATTACCGTTTATAAAATTACCGTTTATAAAATTACCGTTTATAAAATTACCGTTTATAAAATTACCGTTTATAAAATTACCGTTTATAAAATTACCGTTTATAAAATTACCGTTTATAAAATTACCGTTTATAAAATTACCATTTATAAAATTACCGTTGCTTTTGTGCAATTTTATCCTTGCTTTTGTGTTGTATATTTTTATAATTGAACGCTGAGTAACCTACGTCTTCTGAGTGCTCCATAAATGTCACAATTACTACAACCCTTGTGGGTTTTGCGCTTCCACATAAATATCTCGAGAGGCCCCCCTTTTATATGTTCCAGCGAGAAAAACAGATGATCTCCCCTGGCAGGCAACAAATTTTCTGAAACACTAAGTTAGGTATAACGATCGTCAGGAAACAGGACAAGTGTTTCCTGACGCGGGTCTTAGTTATACGATAACCCACAGCTGAGGACTTCCGCTGACTGAGGACTTCCGCTGCCTTACCCCTCTGCTTCAGTGTTACCATTAATAACACTGCAGCGTTAGCCATTGAAGAGCAATCATAAGTAAGTCAACGAACATTAATTTCATTGATTAACTCTGAAAATTACCCGATCAATAACTAAAATTACCCACCAAGTTATTTTGTGCTAAGAAATTTTTGTCCCACAAAAAATGAGTTTTTGTAAATATTTTAAACATGTTAATCCCTTAAATTTTTTAATTTCCATGAATACACAAAACTGTGTGTGCTAATATTTCATATATTAAACAAAGTAGCATAATATTACCAGTTAAATTGTATCATTATAATTTTTTACCTTCTGGTCAACGGGATTCATATAATGACTCGATCGACACCATGCCCAGCACTTCTAGGGTAGGGTAGGTGCCTAAGACAGAGCTTGCAGCTCATAAGCCTGTCATTCCCATTAGCCCCCTTGGGGGGGAATGGCAGACCAGAGAGGCCTAGCTTCTCAGTACGAGCCCTGTGAGGGCGGGGAATGTGGCTAGGCCTGGGGACAGTTGGTCCCAAAGATGAGGAGGTACTTGTGCCTCCTCCCATGGGAGACTTAAGTCTCAGACACTCCCTAGACAGGGAGTCAAGGCCGGACCACCACTTGGAAATGGCCCGGGCCGGGAGAATACCGGCGAATCTTTAATAATAATATAATGACTCTGTGATGACAAAAAAGTATGGGAGTGTGTGGCCTGGATAACACAGGTGTCAGAGTCCGTCTATCACATCCCAAGGTCTCTTAAAGTCCTCCAGCTAAGGCTGTCACTCTCCCTTGATTGATTTAACCCTGGAGTTTGAAATACATTTTTCTCACCTCTTAAAACTGTATTGCACAGCCTTCTTGCAAGGTGATTATGGACTCTGGTGCAAGCTACCTTGCTGATGGTAAACTGTCTATCTGATAAGTTTAAAACCGATGATTAGAGTAAGGTTTAACTTAACTAATACGTACTTGCATAATAATCAGAGTTGAACATTGGTTTACAATTATTAAATCCATATCAGGGACATATTCGCGTGCCTGATATGTATATATGTATAATGTATGTATGCATGTATCATGCCTAATAAACCGAATTGTTTAATTAGGCCGAACTACCCTAGAAATTTAACAATTCCTAGAGTATTTATTCCCTAGATTATTTTCAATTGGAAAAAAATATATATTTTGGCACCAAACTTAACTCAGAATATCAGAATATTGAGCCAAATACTGCTAATTATATTATTATTATTATCATAAGCGCTAAACCCATAAGAGTAAATGTATCATAGATCAGTTTAATTTTTTTTAAATTACTGTGTTCCTCAGGGAAGGTTCCATGATGCTGATGAGAGGCTCTTGATCTAGGGAATTGGATCTGTGCCGCAGTTCCTTGAATTAAAACTGAATACCTACCCCCCCCCTTCCACAGGCGCTGTATAATCCCTAAGGGTTTAGCGCTCCCCATAATAATTAATATAACAGTCGAAGATATATACATTTTTCGTTATGTTCAGAATACTTACACACACACACACACACACACACACACACACACACACTGGAGTATGCAGCACCAGTCTGGAACCCACACCTGGTCAAGCACGTCAAGAAGTTAGAGAAAGTACAAAGGTTTGCAACAAGGCTAGTCCCAGAGCTCAAGGGAACGAGGAAAGGTTAAGGGAAATCGGACTGACGACACTGGAGGACAGAAGGGTCAGGGGAGACATGATAACGACATACAAGATACTGCGGGGAATAGATAAGGTGGACAGAGATAGGATGTTCCAGAGAGGGGACACAGGGACAAGGGGTCACAACTGGAAGCTGAAGACTCAGACGAGTCACAGGGACGTTAGGAAGTATTTCTTCAGTCATAGAGTTGTCAGCAAGTGGAATAGCCTAGCAAGTGAAGTAGTGGAGGCAGGAACCATACATAGTTTTAAGAAGAGGTATGACAAAGCTCAGGAAGCAGAGAGAGAGAGGATCCAGTAGCGATCAGTGAAGAGGCGGGGCCAGGAGCTGAGTCTCGACCCCTGCAACCACAATTAGGTGAGTACAATTAGGTGAGTACACACACACACACACACACACAGGAGGCTCAAAACTGGCTGTACCACTGAACCACAAAGCTTATAATAGGATTATTTTACGAGCAGCACTTCTCTGATGTGCTTGTATCAGCGGCACCAACTGTGATCCTGCTGTCTCATCCCACAGCCCCAGAGACTCTTACAACCGTGGCACTGTCTTCAGCGTTGTGGCACACAGGTACAACTGGTCTTGCTACATGTAATTACTACGATTAGTCTCCTGCTTCTTGCTTTTTTTTTATCTCCTTTTAAGGAAGTCCATTGCTGCAGTAAATGAGCTCTTGATCCGAGAAGCTCACCTATTGTCCCCTCCTTCGGATCGAATCTCTATATCCTCAACCCTCCGTTCCTCTCGATTTAGTTTCATTTGTAGGAAAAAAATTTCGTTAGTGGAACCCCGCTCATAGACAAAGGAGAGAAAAGAGTCAATATCAACCCTGTTTTAATGTAGCTTCCGTTGTTAATACAGCGGGAAAAATTAGATCATTACAGGTAAAGTCAGGTGACCCTCCGGTGAAACTATGGGTTGCCTTCGATGATGGAAGTATCACCAGAGGTGATACACACACATACACTCTATGTGTGTGATCCTGGCATCAATTCCAGTTCTCCAAGTGTAATTACTAGCTGAAAGGCTATTGCATGGTTTGTGTTCTTGTTTAATCAAGCGGTTCTGCTAAGCCTGGCTTGGTTAGTTCTGGAGGGAAGAAATGACTGAAGTGTATAAGTGGAAGATGGGCATAAATGAGATTATGAGGATACCTCTTCAAGAAAGAGCTCGAAATAATGAATTCAAACTTGATAAGTTTAGATTGGTTTGGAAATCGAGTAGTCATAGGGTAAATTCAAATATAGTGGGATTTGTACACGAGTTAATAGGGGTTATCAAAATGGATTTGGCAAATATTTTTGATTATGGGTTTGGGATTGAGAAGTACGTGCATAGTATGGGTCAGTAGGCCTGCAGCAGTGTTCCTCCTTTATGTTCTTTTGATACACGATACAATAGCTCATTCTCCAGGAACCAAAGTGACTGAGACACCCCTTTACTGACCCCCACTCGGCCATCTATATCTACAAAACTCAGAATAGTTTTAAGCCAATCACTTGTTCCTGAACCTTGACAATACCTGCTAGCGAACGAACTCAAACCAAAACCACAACAATGTCGCAAATGTTGAGGCTACGGCTACCTGGCAGAGCCTTGCAGGTCACATTTAGAACGTCCAGTATGAGGAAAACCACATCATAAGCTAAATGGCGATTCCTTCACTTCCTCCACTTAGTTTTGCTAGACCTCCACTTACCCTTGACCTAATGATAACATCACACTTGTGATAAATGGTTTTGAAAACCGACAAGTTGAAGATTGAGATACTTATGTAACAAATGGGAATCTTCATTGAAGAAACGTTTCGCCACACAGTGGCTTCATCAGTCCAATACAAATCAGAAAGGTGTAAGGAGGGAAGGAGTTTGAGGTAATCAGTCCCTCAGCCTGGAATCGATGTGTTCAGTCCATCAATCTTGTAGAAAGTACAGCATAGGGCCAGAGAAGTGGCTTATATACTGTAGTCAGTATATAAGTCTGGTCATATGCTGTACTTTCTACAAGAGTGATAGACTGAACACATCGACTCCAGGCTGAGGGACTGATTACCTCAAGCTCCTCTCCTTACACCTTCCTGCTTTGTATTGGACTGATGAAGCCACTGTGTGGTGAAAGGCTTCTTCAATAAAGATTCCCATATGTTGCATAAGTGTCTCAATCTTCAACATCACACTTATCGCCCTCTTAACATCCTTACCACCCCTCAACACTCAGTACCCTCAACATCAAACCACACTCGTATGCTATACCAGTCAACCATCCTATACTTCTACACTTATCCACAACCAAATCTTCACCCCCGATCCACAGTCTTCCCTCAATCTTCCCGACTCTCCCAGTAGCCCATGCTCTTCCCACAGCCACACCCGAACACCAAGACTGGCCTTCACACGTCACGTAACCAGACACAACCCGCCCGAGCACTTTTCCTAAGGATCTCGCTTTCCTTTATTCTTAGCCATACGAAATTAAATATTACGTCCCGTTTAGGGGGTAGGTAATTTCTCGAGGGTGTGGCCACACGTATAAAAGAACCTCTGATGACTCTCTTCATCACCAGTTGCACCTCAACATCCCAGGAAACAACATGATTGCCAAGGTGAATATTATTGTGTCAGTCGTCTACACGTGCCTGCCAAGTGGAGGAGAAGTGAAGAATTTGCGACGTAACTCTGATGGCCTTATTACGCAGTCAAGGCTCGTTAAGGAGAGGTTGATATTTAATTGTTCCCATTGTTATCTGTTTGAACATTCTGTGTTTCCACGGTGAGTGATTCTGCGAGTCACAGACATCATGTTATGCGCCAGTTATAGTGTTAATAGCCAGAACAAGCTATTTTTTTTTTAGCTTGGAGAGTGTGAACCAACTAACTTACAGTTTCGTTAACTTATGGTGCTGATTGTGTGAATTGGCAAACACATCGCTTAGTCTAACTCAGTTAATAGCGCTGATAGTTTTAAGCAATTAACTTAATGTTGTGTGAGACAGGTAATTTGCGCTCTCTGAAACTGCTGTTTGCATTGTTGTGAAGACTTGACTGACTCAGGTGATAACGATATGAAAAGTGATAAACGAGAGAAGAGAACTAAGAGATAGAGGAGGATACGAGTAGAGAGAGGGAGAGTAGTGAGAGAGGGAGGGAGAGAGGGAGAGTGATGGGTAAGGAGGCATTAAAGTTGACATCAGTTCATTGATGTAATTTCCCTAGTGTCGAGAGATAATAATAATAATTATAATAATATGGGAGGGAAAGACGGGAAAATAAGACTGGGGAAGAAGATAAAGAAAGAAAGATTCTTCCACAAGCTTGGCTGGAAGGAATTCCTTAAAGCTTAATGCATTTACAGTGTTTGATCCTCAAGGACTATTGATATATCTTTGCTCTAGAAAGCAGATTTCATACTTACGTACGTACGCACACACACACACACACACACACACACACACACACACACACACACACACACACACACACACACACACACAATACACACAAAACACAAATAAACACACACAAACACATACACACACAACACACAAACACATACACACAAGCACACACACACACACACACACACAACACACACACACACACACACACACACACACACACACACACACACACACAAATACACACAAACACACAAATAAACACACACAAACACATACACACACACACAAACACATACACACAAGCACACACACACACACACACACACACACACACACACACATCTAGTAGCGACCAGTGAAGAGGCGGGGCCAGGAGCTTGGACTCGACCCCTGCAACCTCAACTAGGTGAGTACACACACGCACACGTACACAAACCCACACACCTTATTCCCAGAATGTAACTTTCATATAAAATAGCGTAGCCGCATACGGGAAAAGGTACCACGATGTAACTACAATATAGAATAGGTTAGACGCACTGTGACGGTGTATCCAAATTTGCTAAAAGAGACAGTGACTAGAGAAAGAAACTCTCACTCCACGACTCCTCACGACGACTTACAGACCAATAAGACACACGTGAGTCTCCCAGGTAATCACCTGACCACTGTTTCCCTTCACCCTGTCGTGACGTGTGGGAACTGTAAATTCTTTCTGGAATCTACTTATAGTTTTGAGAGATCATGTTAATCGTAACGTTACGGGACGCGAGTTACGTTTCTGTCTTCCTATTGGCACTCTATATATATATATATATATATATATATATATATATATATATATATATATATATATATATATATATATATATATATATCCATCCATCTATAGTGGTATCGTATTGCTTTCTAATTTATTCCAGAGGTTTGCATACTCTGCAACTACAGTTTATCTGTAGATGCACAGTAGATGCACTATCTATGGTAGTATATTGTGTTCTCAATATACTACCGTTGAGGTGTTAATCCGCGGGTCACCTTGATGGGCAATAGATCCTTTTTCCTATTATTTTCTTATAATTCATCAGCTGATTCTTTTCTGTTGAGGTTTTAAGTTTCCATTTGTCGTCTATAAAATTGAACCTTCTCTTTATTTAATGCCTAATTGACAAATCTATCAACTTTTATTCCAGGAGAACTACGTGAGAGGGGAATCTTCAAAAATTTTCTTCGACCTCAGTCTCAGAATATTGTGAATATTTGTGTCTCGCCTGAAAAAACAAGCAAGACACATTCAGATCGACCAGCGAGTCATCATATAACTTGCAGCAGGATGGAATGTTTCCTGACAAAGAAGTTCCTACCACCACTTGATCTTAGTGTTTTCTTTCTTTACAGGTTTTCGTTTTGGCCACTCTAGTGGCTGCCACCTTCGCTGAATCTGTCCCAGCATACCCGGTCCACCCTAAACCATCCTACAGTCCTCCTGCATACCCAAAACCATCCTACCCTGCTCCATCTTATCCTGATGTAAGATTCACGTGTAAAATGTTAATCAATTGATCCTATTTCACCGGCTTAGGATTTACTAATCTACTTAAATTGATTTAAACCTCAATATTATATTTTCTGATAATTATAGGAGAGTTTTGTTTGAAAATTATATTTGCTAATATTTGTTTACTTAAGACGTTGAATTATTCAGATTTGTTGATGAAATTTTAAACGTTTCAATACACCATTATAAACTTGAAAACGTACGTATTACACTATTAGTGTTACTGTGTAAATCATTGGTCCACAGACTCCTCCCCAGTACAACTCACAGTACGCTGTGAGGGACGACTACTCCGGCAACGACTTTGGTCATGATGAATCTCGTGACGGCTATGACACCAAGGGCACTTATTACGTCCAGCTTCCCGACGGTCGTCTGCAGAAGGTGACTTACTACGTCAACGGCGACTCCGGCTACGTAGCAGAAGTAACCTATGAGGGTGAGGCCCAGTACCCAGCCTATCAGCCTGCTCCGGCCTACAAGCCTGCTCCAGCCTACAAACCCACTCCAGCCTACGAGCCTGCCCCTGCCTACGAGCCTGCTCCTACCTATGAGCCTGCCCCAGTCTACAAGCCTACACCAGTCTACAAGCCAACCCCAGTTTACAAGCCCGCCCCAGCCTACAAGCCCGCCCCAGCCTACAAGCCCGTCCCAGCTTATGAATAGAATACCACAGCCAAGCCTTGACTATGTAAAATCCCTATTTATTACACAAGCATAATAAATTTGTATCAGATACAGCCTCTCTTTTATTACATTTCCAGGCAAGACCCCAAACTATTCGATAGAAACTGCTACTAAAGCATTAAGTGTTAAAAAGAATTATATTGAATCTGTGCTACAGAGGGAGAGTGATCACTGGAAACCATATACTATCTACTGTTTATTGAAAAACTGGACTGGAAGGGTAAAATTCATCTACGACTAAAAGAATACAGTTTATTGTATCATATCTCAGAGTTCTCGGGGAGGTAGCTTCAGCACACTGTAATCTCCAGCCAGATTATATTTCAGATGAATTATTCACGTATCCTGAAGAAGGCAAAGAGAGGCACTCTACACACATTAACCGCACCCTGCACACCTTACCACCCCTCCATACCTTAACCACACCCTCCACACTTTAACCATACATTGCATACATTAACCACACCCTCCACACATTAACCACACCCTGAACACATTAATCACATCCTGCACACATTAACCACACCCTGCACACATTAACCACACCCTCCACACATTAACCACACCCTCCACACATTAACCACACCCTCCACAAATTAACCACACCCTCCACACACATTAACCACACCCTCCACACATTAACCACACCCTGCACACATTAACCACACCCTGCACACATTAACCACACCCTCCACAAATTAACCACACCCTCCACACACATTAACCACACCCTCCACACATTAACCACACCCTGCACACATTAACCACACCCTGCACACATTAACCACACCCTCCACACATTAACCACACCCTCCACAAATTAACCACACCCTCCACACACATTAACCACACCCTCCACACATTAACCACACCCTCCACACATTAACCACACCCTCCACACATTAACCACACCCTCCACACATTAACCACACCCTCCATACATTAACCACACCTGCAGCTGGTGATCTAACACGTGAGAGTTTCGGCATCAGCCAGACTCTCCAACACAACTCTTCAAGACGTCGCCAACTACTCACTGTCTGGAGAATATCTTCCACACATTTAATAAATTTCTTTTGACGTAAATGTACTGAGATAAACAAATTCCCAGTTAGATAAGGTTGTGATGGCTACGTAGGCTTGCAAGCCATAAGCAGCAACAACCTGGTTGATCAGTGAAAGAAGTCTGGACTTTGACCGAGTTTAATATATAAAACCTTTAAACACACAGTGTTTCACAGATTATTTCTGTCTTGAACCTTCAATAATTATTAACGGCTCAGCTGATTTAAAAAAAAAAATTCAATGCTTTGCGGCCAATTATTCGCCCCTTCATAGGGAGAATAATCTGTAAGAGTTTTATTAAGATTAATCTATTGGTTTCCGTGATATAAACTGCAGAACAAACCGGAAAAACCAGTCTATGACACACTGTTCACAGGTACACAAAATCTTACTGAACACATCGACCCCAGGCTGAGGGATTGATTACCTCAAGCTCTTCCACATCTTCTAACGTTCATCTCTATTTTAGACTGAAGAAGCCACTGGCTGGTGAAACGTTTTGAGAATAAAGATTCTCAATGTTACACAACTGCCTCAGTTATTAACTCGCCGGGTTTTTAAACCATTTATACGAACTCTGTACACTGTTGTTAGCTCTTGTCTTATTTATATACACATGTATACATGTGTGTATAGTATACATGTGTGTATGATGTATTTATGTACAACATGCATTCAAATGCACATATACATTCACAGGTATATGCACATGTAAACACACTGTATGCACATCTGTGCGCATTTATACTTACTGGATGGACACAAGCTGATGCATACATATGCATACATATTCTATGTGCAAGCATGCACATGCAAAAGCATATATGTGCATACGTACACATATGCGTACATACTTATGTCATCTCCCACCCTAATCTTGCCACCCTCAACACCATTGTTAACGAGGAGCTACTCAAAATATCGACTTGGATGACAGCCAATAAACTTAAACTTAACACTGGCAAAACCTACTATATTGTTTGGTAGCAGAGCAGGTGTTGCGCAACTTAACATTAAGATCGACAACACTAATTGCCAGACATAATGAGGGCAAATTCCTTGGCCTATACCTCGACAACAACCTAAATTTCAGCACCCATATCCAACACATAACAAAAAAAGTATCCAGAACGGTGGGGATCCTCTCCAAGATACGATGCTACGTACCGCAAACTGCCCTTCTCACACTATACCACTCACTTATGTATCCATACCTCACCTATGCTATTTGTGCTTGGGGTTCAACTGCAGCAACACACCTAAAGCCAATAATAACCCAACAAAAAGCCGCAGTAAGAATAATCACTAAATCCCATCCCTGGCAACACCCCCCCCACTCTTCATAGATCTAAACTTACTCCCTGTTCAGTACATCCACACTTACTACTGTGCAATCTATATCTACAGGACCTTAAATTCCAATATTAACCTTGACCCAAAACGCTTTCTTGATAGTTGTGACAGGATCCACAGGCATAACACCAGACACAAACATCTCTATGACATTCCCCGTGTTCGACTAAACCTTTACAAAAATTCAGTGTATTTCAAAGGCCCTAAAATCTGGAACACCCTACCTGAAAACTTTAGAACTGCAGACACATTCATCACCTTCAAAACTACAGTTAAAAAACATCTTATCTCCCTGATCCACCCCGACAACTAACTACATGATAACCACCTGGTGGTTCAAAATTACACTCACTCACCCACTGACTATAAACCAGAAATACTAATCTTAATCTTAAAATAATAAATCCTAATTAGTCATAAGTTTGCCTATGATACTCAAATATAGACACCTTGTATTGTGCCAAAACAAAAGCATTCACATTGCTAAACTTACAAATTATGATGTAGTCACATAGCTTTAATACCATAATCTGTAAGGATTTAATGTTAAGAATTAATCTAAGTCTGCTCGAAATGCCTAGCCATGCTAGGTGTCCTAGTGGCCCCCTCTGTAATTAGTATTTTATAACATGTAATCCACAAAATACCCAAAACCTGTAAACCCCACATTGTAACCCTTATAGAGAATAAACTTGAATTGAATTGAATTGAATATGCGTAAGTATGCATCCATACATACTACCACAGATATGCATACCCAAAATCATATTATATATATATATATATATATATATATATATATATATATATTATATATATATATATATATATATATATATAAAACATTATTATGCATACACACATATGTATATGAGCACACATTTTTTTATATTATGTTACATACGAATTTCATGACCACCCTGCACTATTCCTTTCGCATTCACTGAGAGGAGGCTTGGCTTATGGGTTACAGGGATACCCTTCTCGATTCACTGAAGTAGAGGGGGCTTGGCTCATGGGATACAGGGATACTTATCCTGGATTGTGCAGTCTCTTAAAGGACCACAATTTTAAGTGCTCTATAAATTTATCATTCCAACGTGATAAGTAACCAGAAGAAGAATAAAATGAGAGAATTATTAAAAAGAAGTGATAGGGCGAAATGATGAGCGAGGAGAAATCAAAGAAAAAAAAACAGAAGTGTAATACAAAGGAAGGTGAAGGACTGACCTTCCACACCTCTTAACCCGAATTTAATGTTATTTTAAGATTGAAATATTTGAGACGTTAATCGTTAGTAATTACTAACTTCTGATGGTCACCTGACGTCATCGTCTCGCACACACACACACATACACACTCTCGCACACACACACATACACACTCTCGCACACACACACATACACACTCTCGCACACACACACATACACACTCTCGCACATACACACATACACTCTTAAGGTACTGATTGAAGCAGAGAAACTGTGTCACCAATTACTGACGTATTCATTTACCAACGACTCGGACTTACGATGGGCTCTCTGACTAGTATGAATATCTAAACAATGTATATTAGAGCTCTTTTCCTCTATTCTGTTTATTACAATCTACAGTACACTTCTGTATAAACATTTAAAAATATACTAACAATGATATAAATGGCGCAAAGGTGATATTAAAACAGTATCAAAGATGTGATGAATGGTTTTGAAAACCGACAAGTTGAAGATTGAGACACTTATGCAACATATGGGAATCTTTATTTAGGAAACGTTTCGCCACACAGTGGCTTCATTAGTCCAATACAAAGCAGAAAGGTGTAAGGAGGGAAGGAGTTTGAGGTAATCAGTCCGTCAGCCTGGAGTCGATGTGTTCAGTCCATCAATCTTGATGGACTGAACACATCGATTTCAGGCTGAGGGACTGATTACCTCACACTTTTCCTCTCTTAACACCTGCTTTGAATTGGACTAATGAAGCCACTGTGTGGCGAAACGTTTCCTAAATAAAGATTCCCATATGTTACATAAATGTCTCAGTCTTCAATATCAAAGATGGTTGACACAAACCCATTACCATTATAGTATGCTCCTCACTTAGCGACGAATTCGTTTACCGACGAGGTATACAATAACTCGATGGCAATAGCATCTAGCAGACACAAAACTGTAAATGTAGTTTTGTTAACTAATACATACCTCTTCAATTCCATGTCTTTCCACAGCGCAGATTCTGTGCCCTCAGTCTGTCCTCGTGGGAAAGAATTCCTATGCAGGAGATCAAGTCTTTCATCCTTACACAAATAACCCGCCACATACAGGAGAGAGGAGCTTACGACGATGTTTCGGTCCCACTTGGACCATTCACTGAGAGACCGTGTCATTAGTAACTTGGATCGTGCATAACTTATTTTCGTCCTGATCTATAATTTTTGTTTATTTCTGGAATTTCCCTAGTATCTTCTTGCGTAAAAGCTGAGAGGAAATAAGAGTTGACGATTATACACATTTTTTGTGTCACGTCAGTGAGATGAGCTGACCAACTTTTAAACAGGACTGTCATCTTTCTAATCTTTATATATACATGAAATCATCCCTATATATCTGAAAATACTATATACGGTGAATTCGGTCTATAAGGGTTAAGAGGGAGGCCAGGAGCTATTACTCGACTCCCTACAAACACAACTAGGTGAATATAACTATAAGTGAGTACACACATTGATTAATTTTTATTATATTTATAGGGAAGTCCCAAACCTGTAAAGGTCATAACAGAGGACTGAGAACCTAGGTCAATCATGTTTAATCCAAGAAAGGAAAGCTTCAAAGTATCGGATCAAAAGCTTCTTACCAGCATCAAGGCTCACTATTTTGAATGAACGTAGTGTTGAAAACACTGCGGGATTTATTGTGCTATCTGTGACCATAATAGTATCAGTATAGGTGTTTCGGGACACTGATTAAACTGGCTCGAGTGGTGGAGGTGGAAAGTACAATGCTTGCACTCAGAGGAATGTGGGTTGATGTTGCGGTTCGTTGGATTATCGCTGTAATAATCCCAGAACAACATGATACAAATGGTGCTTCTGGTTCCCGTGACGACTTATATCATAGTGTAAACATACCTCTCATAGCTTATTCGGCTAATCACTTCTCAATTATACACCATCACATACCTTTCATGTTTAAGATATGAAGTTAAAGCCATTGACCACATTAAGATATAGTCCAAATTTCCATTAATCTTCTGTTCAGCAGCACAATCTCAAAGTATTACATTCCTGGACTTACGTGAAGTGTCTCATTACACCTGGAGCGCACGAGCACCTCCAGCTTTCCCTACCACTTGTCTCTGATCACATCTTGCCTTATCTTCCTGCAATTTGTATCAAAACCCTCATCACCGCGCATCAGACACTTTTCACCTTCTAAAAATGGTGTAAGAAGCGTGAGTTTACAAACTTGCCACTCACGTGACCTTGGGTGTGGCTGCTTGTATAAAAGGCTCGCCTCTGCCTCAGAGACTGTCAGTTGCCTTCACAACTCATCGATAACATGTTTACCAAGGTGAAATTCTTCTCTTCTTTTGTCCGATTATTTCTTGCTGTGACAGTTAAAAAAATATTGATACATATTTGTCGTAGTAAGAACTGGATCTATTACTCATTACAATAAATGTTTGTGCCGTAGATGATGCAATAATAGAACCACGGCATCATTATGGTTCTAACCGTTCTCGACGTCTCGTTCTGTAGGTTCTAGTTCTGGGTTCCCTTGTGGCTGCTGCCCTCGCCCGCCCTGAGCCACCCCCTTCTTATGCCCCTCCAGCACCAGCCTACAGCCCCCCAGCTCACCCACGACCTGCTTATGGCGCTCCTTCTTACCCAGACGTGAGTATCAACATTAAAAAGTACTTCAAAAATAGCACGAGGTTTAAACTGTTTTATTGTGATTTCTTAATATGCTCAAATGTGCATTAATTTTTTTGTCTTCCTTTGCCAGAAGGTTAAATTCCCCTCAGTAAAATCTTGCAGCTCTTGAATTCAGTGAGTTATCCCGTGAGAGACAGCGAGCAGCATAGATTTCGATAACCCACCTATTGACATCTAGTATGCTATGTAGTGTATTATATACACAGGTAACTGCCATATATTTTCTTACAGACGCCTCCTCAGTATAACGCCCAGTTCGCAGTGAAGGACGACTACTCCGGCAACGACTTTGGTCACCAAGAATCTCGTGACAACTACGACACAAAGGGTACTTATTATGTCCAGCTTCCCGACGGTCGTCTGCAGAAGGTGACTTACTACGTTAATGGCGACTCCGGCTACGTAGCGGAAGTGAGCTACGAGGGTGAGGCCCAGTACCCAGCCTACCAGCCTGCTCCAGCGTATAAGCCTGCTCCAGCCTACCAGCCCGCCCCTGCCTATGCATAAACCGATATAAAAATATTTTTTTTTGTGAATATTTGTTGATATATATTTATTACTAAAATGGTCTGAATAAAGACTTATGCATTAAAATAAATTTTTACTTATCTCCTGTAGACCGAAGGTAAGTGAATGTGTGAGAGAGACTGAGTGCAGCTGATGTTGCTAAAATTATTGAGGTTAAAAGAGTTTGGTATCATAATCATCAGGGACAAGTAATACTCATCAAGGACAAGTAATATTCATCAAGTTTTATCCGATTTTTACTTGATTGTTGCTAAATAATCTGAATAAACAAAAATGTATATTTCAACATTATAAACCACATGTTGCACTAGTGTCTTACTTATCAACTTGAAGGTGATATATACCATCATACTGACAAGCGACTCACTGTAACCTCGACAGGTCTCAAGACCTGGCATCTTGGTTGATGTTCTCGTACGTAAACACCACAGACCAGATGACTGGGTTTATCTAGTGGGGAAAAAAATAAGCACGTGAAAACAGTTAGGGTCCATTAATCAGTCCTTATTTGTTAGAAGGCTGTTTAAAATCCCAAGTCACTCTGTGGTTATTGAGTTAGTGGTATTCTCGTTTACATCCCTGCTTGTTATTGTGAGTATTTTGCATTGTTTTTATCATGTTAAAATATTAAGAGTCCCTGTATTAAGAATAAAAAGTAAAACACCATGACTGGAACAATACACAAATAACATGCACATAGGCCTGGTCTCAGACCGGGCTTCGGGGGCGTTGACCCACGAGACTCTCTCCAGGTATACTCCGCGTATAGGAGAGAAAATGGCCCAAGACGAACCTAAACGTCAACATAATGTTTTCTCTCACCTGTGTGCGGCTTATTTGTATATAATCCCTGTATTAGTTTCCTGGTGTGATGTGGAGCACGATTTATTTCCTCGCCTGTGCACCAGGCAGTAGCTTGAGGAATTTTGGGCACAGAGTTAGTGGAGACTAAGTGAACATGTATTGGTAGTGTATATTCTCCTCATTCTTCAGATCTGCATGATTTAAAAGACTGTTGGTCTACACAGGGATTCTCAACCAGGAGTGAATTTACCACTTGTGGGTAAAAAATTAAATGGCAGGGGGTAAATATTTGATGCTATTTTTGTGCAAATCCTGAATAATTTATTTTTTTTCTGGCACCTTGTTTTTCTGTCCCTTGATGATGGCGATAATTTTTTGTATGGAAGAGAGTAAATGGAGAAATAAAGTCGAAACGGTTAGTGATGGAGGAGAAGTTTAGAATCCCTGGGACTCCACAACATCATACCAGTATAAAGAAGAATACGATCATCATATATCATTGTGGTCTCTGAATGTAAGATCTTGAGATATGGTTACTCTCTAGACTCGTTTAAATACATTATTAGCGAAATTGAGCTAATTGATGCACGTGGAACTTATCGTGGTTAAATGCCAATGTTTTGAATGGCCAACTGGAAGATTTGACTTACATCAGTTTGAAGCTTCATCAGGCACTAGTTAGACGCTGTTCTCATTTACATTCTATTGTCGTCAATAATGGATTCTTCCCCCAAGCGAGGTTCCTTAATTCTGGTGAAGGGTTATGAGTGTATTGAATTAGATCTCCCTCCTCTTAGGATCAAAACTGAATGACCCCTATTCCCTCAGTTGCTGTATTGACCCTAAGTGCACAGTGCTCTCAGATGAATGTACTACAACAACAACAACTATTACTACTACTACTACTACTACTACTACTACTACTACTACTACTATACTAATAATAATAATAATAATAATGATAATAATAATAATAATAATAATAATAATAATAATAATAATAATAATAATAATAACGATAATAATAATAATAAAGAATTGTACATTATCATGATTATCATATCTTTGCCTTTATAAGAAACGAGTAAGATAACTGAGTCTCGTTCTGTGCAATGATAACTTTGCTCTGTTGGATATTTCTTTTTCTTCAAGGCTTTATTTTTCCAGAAAGTTTCAAATCCAGTTGTTCACTTTTCTAGGTTATCTTTTCACAGACTTTGGCTATATCACATAATTTCCAAACTTCATTAGTTCTTACACCTGACCCAGTGCTTGAACCTGACTTAAGTCATGTGGCTTAGGTCAGGTAACTTTTGCATAAAAGCATTATCTCTTAACTCAGATCACTGAGTACAGCATCGGTAAGTCAGCATTTGCTGCCGATTTCGCTAGTAATAACACCAATCTCCACCCTTTAAAAAAATTATACTTTTAAACACCGTGGTTTTGCAATGTTTCCTTCCATGTCAGGTTATTTTCCATGAGCACTAACTTAAAAACTTGAGACATACTTATTCCTTGAGCCACGGGTTTCTGATACCCATGACACAAACTCGTACAGTTGGACCACGGCCCTGGTCAACAACGACACTCTACTCACCAATACAAACTAGGAAACAGGTGCAGTGTTGAATTAACTAGCAGTAGTATATGTTCAATTTCACAACATCCGTCTGCCACTCTTCCAGGGATATAATGTTATCCCAACAGAGCAGAAATATGAAGATTGAGACACTTATGCAGCATATGGGAATCTTTATTCAGGATCCTGAATAAAGATTCCCATATGCTGCATAAGTGTCTCAAGCTTCAACTTGTTGGTTTTTCAAACCATTCATCACAACAGAGCAGAAATATCAGGATTACAGGAAAACTGAGGCAAAACTTGTCGTAACGATGTTGCTGATTTCGTTATGCCTAACATGCCAGTCTTTGGGGCTTTATGAAAAGCATAGATTTTAGAATGTTTTCTGGCTGAATAAAAAGCACTGGTAAAGTCCAATTTAATCAAGGGTTCATTTTCCATAATGCTGGAAATGCATGAACGTGCTCTGAGAGTAAGCATGAAATCTTTGCGGAATGCAAAGTCCGGGATAAATTGTTGTCGGCACTGCAGCTGCTTCCCGGCTGACCGCTCTTAAAGTCCCCTTTGCAAAAAGGCAGAAGAGGGAATTTCTAACAGCAATGGGTCTGAGTCTCCGTACTTCATAAGACGCAAAGGTAAAAGAAAACAAGAGGGGGTTAATACCTTTCTTGATGTCAAAAGCTAAGCAAATATTTATCCGTGCTCATAAAATTCGGTACATACGTGCTCTGTCAGCCGACCTTTTCAGAGAGATTCCTTGATGCTTGATGAGGTGCTCTGCATTTGAGGAATTGCATCTGTAATCCAATTTCTTGAATCGAGCCTGAATGCCTTCCATTTCCCAAGGCACAATATGACCCCCAACGTGTTTAGTGTTACCCATGAATGACAATGTAATGACTATCAGTCGAACAATAATTAGGGTGATAACTGATTAAATTTTTTCTTTAAACTATACTTTAAAAATCCCAAGAAATATAGTCCAGAACTTCTTATCAAAAATAACTTGAGTGTCATTCATAATAAGAAAAAGGACTCTACATTATTTCAACGAACAATAAAATTGCCGGAGAGTAATTCTTTGGCATTAGTCCAGTCTTCACAATGGTCTATAACCCTGAGATGAATAAACAAAGTAATGGCTTACTGGCCAATATTTGAAGATTATGCTGCTTAACGCTGCTCTCAGAAACTAACCCAGTCTGTCCTACTTATTCAAGATTATGTAAGAGTCAAATATATACAGTGATGAAGGAATTTTGCATCGGTTTTTCATTATATTTTTTTTCAAAGGAACTTAAATGCTAGAATGTTAGAGCCCATTGAAAGGTGCTAAAATTTGTCACTGAAATTGTCACTTTATGTTAACACTAACACATTCTCAGATTTATATTCAGTGTTTAGTTATGATACACAAAATGTTCCCTTAATGATTATAACGAGTCATCGAAACATTAGGACACGTATCAGAACTTTGTCCCGAAGAATATTAACAATTTAAAGAAAAAGTCTTTGTAAAATGCATGAGTATTGATATTTGAATGAAATAATTATAGATCTTTGTTTCTTCAACATTACAATCAAAAAACATTAGAGCTAAGTAGCCAAAAACCTCTAAAAAATATGGACGTGAATTCACTATTTTTTGTGGCTTCGGTAATAATTATATATATATATATATATATATATATATATATATATATATATATATATATATATATATATATATATATATATATATATATATATAACATTTATAGATGGGGTTGTAAGAGAAGTAAATGCGAGGGTCTTGGCAAGAGGCGTGGAGTTAAAAGATAAAGAATCACACATAAAGTGGGAGTTGTCACAGTTGCTCTTTGCTGATGACACTGTGCTCTTGGGAGATTCTGAAGAGAATTTGGATGAATTTGGTAGGGTATGCAAAAGAAGAAAATTAAAAGTGAATACAGGAAAGAGTAAGGTTATGAGGATAACAAAAAGATTAGGTGATGAAAGATTGGATATCAGATTGGAGGGAGAGAGTATGGAGGAGGTGAATGTATTCAGATATTTGGGAGTGGACGTGTCAGCGGATGAGTCTATGAAAGATGAGGTGAATCATAGAATTGATGAGGGGAAAAGGGTGAGCGGTGCACTTAGGAGTCTGTGGAGACAAAGAACTTTGTCCTTGGAAGCAAAGAGGGGAATGTATGAGAATATAGTTTTACCAACGCTCTTATATGGGTGTGAAGCATGGGTGATGAATGTTGCAGCGAGGAGAAGGCTGGAGGCAGTGGAGATGTCATGTCTGAGGGCAATGTGTGGTGTGAATATAATGCAGAGAATTCGTAGTTTGGAAGTTAGGAGGAGGTGCGGGATTACCAAAACTGTTGTCCAGAGGGCTGAGGAAGGATTGTTGAGGTGGTTCGGACATGTAGAGAGAATGGAGCGAAACAGAATGACTTCAAGAGTGCATCAGTCTGTAGTGGAAGGCGGGGTAGGGGTCGGCCTAGGAAAGGTTGGAGGGAGGGGGTAAAGGAGGTTTTGTGTGCGAGGGGCTTGGACTTCCAGCAGGCGTGCGTGAGCGTGTTTGATAGGAGTGAATGGAGACAAATGGTTTTTAATACTTGACGTGCTGTTGGAGTGTGAGCAAAGTAACATTTATGAAGGGTTCAGGGAAACCGGCAGGCCGGACTTGAGTCCTGGAGATGGGAAGTACAGTGCCTGCACTTTGAAGGAGGGGTGTTAATGTTGCAGTTTAAAAACTGTAGTGTAAAGCACCCTTCTGGCTAGACAGTGATGGAGTGAATGATGGTGAAAGTTTTTCTTTTTCGGGCCACCCTGCCTTGTGGGAATCAGCCAGTGTGTTAATAATAAAAAAATATTATGTGTATATATATATATATATATATATATATATATATATATATATATATATTTTGTGTGTGTGTGTGTGTGTGTGTGTGTGTGTGTGTGTGTGTGTGTGTGTGTGTGTGTGTGTGTGTAATGTAGTAAAGCTTCTTCTGGTAATACTGTTTTGAAGGAAAGCGACCTACATTATTATTATTATTGTAATTATATATGTAATTTTATAAATATATATGTCAAACTTCCGCAATTTCTTGAAAATTAATTACCCTTTTTTTTTGTTTAAAGTTAAATGTCAAGACGTCACGACATCACGTGACCTTGAGTGAAGCTGCTGGTATAAAAAGCTCGGGTCTTCCTCAGAAATTATCAGTCGCCTTCACTGTTCACTTCCAACATGACTACTAAGGTGCACATCTTTCTTTTCTACGAAAATGATTTCCTGTTATAAATACTCATTTGCGTAATATAAATGGTAGAAGACACCGCATCTGTAACATAATACCGTGATTTTTACCATGTAAGTTCAATAATTTTGGTTATATGTGGCTTTAATAGCTATTCTCTTTATCTCGTTCTTAGGTTCTAGTTCTAACAGTTCTTGTGGCTGCCGCCCTCGCCCGCCCCGAGCCACCACCTACGTATGGACCTCCAGCACCAGCCTACAACCCCCCAGCACACCCACGACCTGCTTATGGAGCTCCTGCTTACCCTGACGTGAGTAAAAAAAAAAAAAAACTTCAAAAACAGCCTAATGTTTACCTATTTTAATGACCCGTCTTAATTAGTGTTTCCTGATTTTAGACTGTCAAATATGGAAATTTCACTGTCCTTATGTTTTCGCCCAAAACTTTTTATTTTATTCTCAAAAAAAAAAAAAACTAAATAATTTCGTCATTTTTCTCTGGGGAGACCACGAGCAGCAGTGACTGTGACGCAGCTAAAACTGTATTTAACATACAAATACACAAATATGATATTATTTTTTTTCCACAGACTCCTCCCCAGTACAATGCTCAGTATGCTGTGAAGGACGATGGCAACGACTTTGGTCACCAAGAATCTCGTGACAACTACGACACCAAGGGTACTTATTATGTCCAGCTTCCCGACGGTCGTCTGCAGAAGGTGACTTACTACGTCAACGGCGACTCCGGCTACGTAGCGGAAGTGAGCTACGAGGGCGAGGCCCAGTACCCAGCATACCAGCCTGCTCCGGCCTACCAGCCTGCTCCAGCGTACAAGCCTGCTCCAGCCTACAAGCCTGCTCCAGCCTACCAGCCTGCCGCCACCTATGCATAAATCGATATAAAGAAATGTTCTGTATTCTGTATATAGTGACTATTTATTACCAAAATGGTCTAAATAAAGAATTATTCATAATATAATTTATTTATTGTCTCATGAAAACTGAAGATATGTGAATCTGCACTTATAAGAGAAAATGTTTTGCTGTTACTGAAACAATTCAGATTTCAGACTTTTATTGCAGTGAAAATCAGGAGTAAATAATATCACTAGACTGTGGAGAGTTTTACATGAATGTTAAATAACATAGAGTGAATTTAAATGGTGAATATAGCGATAAGAGACATACACGAGACTCACAGTGACTGCCAGTCAGTGACAAGCAACATTGGTATCGCTTTAATTTGTGTTACTTCAATTAAATTTAATTTGTGTAAGTTTTCCATCTTGTAAATGATGTTAACCCCATCCCAGTCGTTTGCGTGGTGCGAATTTTTAATATGATGGAACACTGTTCCATCACATTACATTTACACAATGAAGCTATACCGAACTTCAATATTTGAAAAAGAATTTCCAACCAGATGAAATACTAAATATACACTAAAAATTAAACACAGCACAGAGTTTAACCAGGCATTCACACAAAAATAGCCCAGATACCCTCAAAAGAATACACCTTCATATATATCATATGGCGTGTGAAGAACAAGACCAGTCTAGCACTGACCAACAGAGCTAATGCAGTGATCAAGCTAGTATAAGAGGTCATCTGAACACATTCATGTTACAAACAATTTACCCGACTATGAGATGTCATCCAGCACCTCGGGGAATCAAGAAGCTTGGTGTCCCCCTTCTCCAAATACCGGGTCTCTCTCTTCCTTCATATGTATTGACTGAAGAGGACATCTGCTGGAGGTCGAAATATGACACTGAATATCAACTGAATAATAATTAGGGTGACAGCTGGGTTAAATTTTTTTAAACTATATTTTTAAAAATCCTAGCAAATAAACTCCAGAACTTCTTTTCGAAATCACTTGTCATACTTAATAAGAGAAAGGACTCCACATTATTTTGACGAACAATAAAATTGCCAGAAAGTAATTCTTTGGCATTAGTCCAGTCTTCACAATGGTCTATAACCCTGAGATGAATAAACAAAGTAATGGCTTACTGGCCAATATTTGAAGATTATGCTGCTTAACGCTGCTCTCAGAAACTAACCCAGTCTGTCCTACATAAACACTTTTAAATATACACAATGATGATGGAGTTTTGCATCAATTTTTCATTTATATTGTTTTTCAAAGGAACTTAAATTATAGAATGTTAGAAAAGTTGTCAGTGACATTATCAGTTTATGTTAATACTTACACATTTCCATATTTATATTCTGTTTTGTTACAAAATATAAAATGTGTCCTAAATGATTATAACGAGTCGTTGAAAGATTAGGACCCGTGTCACTGCTCTGTCTAGAGGAATATTAATAATTTACAAGAAAAATTATATGCTCTGAAAAATATGGAAGTGAATTCACTCTGTTTAACTAATTTTAGTGACTTGAATAATAATAATGTATGAATAAGCGTGTTTACTAGATTTCGATAAACTTTAAAGGCCCTATCTCATATATATATATATATATATATATATATATATATATATATATATATATATATATATATATATATATATATATATATATACAAACACTGATCTCTGGCTGAAGGAGACTCGAACCTACGAACCTTAGGACAAGGTACGCAGTGCTTTACCAATCTACCCACACTGGACAATACCTTGGCGTGTAGCTTGCACTACATGTTTGATCCAAGGCAGCCAGCTTTCAAGGAGAAGGCTTACAGCTTTTCATCTCATCCCCTGCATGCATCAGCCTTACTAGAGATTTTAACAATGCAAGGAATTGGTGTGGGTAGATTGGTAAAGCACTGCGTACCTTGTCCTAAGGTTCGTAGGTTCGAGTCTCCTTCAGCCAGAGATCAGTGTTTGTGTATATTTCGCCTGCTCTCGCGAATTCCTTGTATATATATATATATATATATATATATATATATATATATATATAATAATAATAATATGTGTGTGTGTGTAACGAACTGAGTTCAAGTTTTTTTAGTATAGTATTTGTTGTACTGTTGTTGTTGGAACAGGATAACATTTGTGAAAAGATTTACGGGAACTGGTTAGCTGGACTTGAGTCCTAGCGGTTCGAAGTACAGTGCCTGCACTCTCAAGAACAGGGGTTGAGATTTCCCAGTTCGCTAATCTATTAGATCTGGGAAATCTATACACCTTTTACAAGACACATTTAAAAAAAGATGAGCAATAACTTATGGTAATGCTGTCTTGAAAGAAAACCATCTATGTTATTTTTTTTAGCGTATTTATATAGGTAATTATATATTTCAAACTTCCTCACACTATTTCTTGAAAATGTATCACCATGCATATTTATTGTATAAAGAGAAATGTCAAGAATTTAGGACTTCACGTGACCTTGAGTGAGGCTGCTGGTATAAAAGGCTCGGGTCTTCCTCTGAAACTATCAGTCGCCTTCATTGTTCACTTCCAACATGACTACTAAGGTGCACATCTGCCCTTTTTTCTACAGAAATGATTTCTTCCTAGTTGATATAAATACTCATTTGCAGAATATAAATGGTAGAAGTCACTGTATCTGTAACATAATACAGTGATTTTGTCATATAAGTTGCAAGAATATAACCATAATTTTGATATGTGGCTTCAATAGTTACTGTCTTAACCTCGTTTTTTAGGTTCTAGTTCTAACAGTCCTTGTGGCTGCCGCCCTCGCCCGCCCCGAGCCACCACCTACTTATGGACCTCCAGCACCAGCCTACAACCCCCCAGCACACCCACGACCTGCTTATGGTGCTCCTGCGTACCCTGACGTGAGTATTAAAATAAAAAAACAAGACCTCACAAGCAACCGAATGATTTAACTATTTTAACGACCCTTCTTAATAAGTTTTTCCTGAGAAACACAATTTTTATTTTTACATGATTTTAGAATGTCAAATAAGGAGATATCACTTTTCTTATGTTTTCATCGGAAATGTTTTATTTTATTCTTAGGAAAAAGCAACAAAAGAATTCCGTGATTTTTGTCGGGTGAGCCCACGCAGCTAACGTAGTTTTTAATACATATATCTAAATATTTTGCTATTTTTTTCCACAGACTCCTCCACAGTACAATGCTCAGTATGCTGTGAAGGACGATGGCAACGACTTTGGTCACCAAGAATCACGTGACAACTACGACACCAAGGGTACTTATTATGTCCAGCTTCCCGACGGTCGTCTGCAGAAGGTGATTTACTACGTCAACGGTGACTCCGGCTACGTAGCGGAAGTGAGCTACGAGGGCGAGGCCCAGTACCCAGCATACCAGCCTGCTCCGGCCTATAAGCCTGCTCCAGCCTATCAGCCTGCACCAACCTATGCATAAAAAAATTATATATTCTGTACATAATTGTGACTATTTATTACTAAAATTGTCTAAATAAAGAATTATTCATAATATAATTTATTTATTGTCTCATGAAAACTGAAGATATGTGAATCTGCACTTATAAGAGAAAGTGTTTTGCTGTTACTGAAACAATTCAGATTTAGACTTTTATTGCAGTGAAAATCAGGAGTAAATAATATCACTGGACTGTGGAGAGTTTTACATGAATGTTAAATAACATGAGTGAATTTAAATGGTGAATATAGCGATAAGAGACATACACGAGACTCACAGTGACTGCCAGTCATTGTTGGTTGCCAGTGACAAGCAACATTGGTATCGCTTTAATTTGTGTTACTTCAATTAAATTTAATTTGTGTAAGTTTTCCATCTTGTAAATGATGTTAACCCCATCCCAGTCGTTTGCGTGGTGCGAATTTTTAATATGATGGAACACTGTTCCATCACATTACATTTACACAATGAAGCTATACCAAAGTTCATTTTTTTAAAGGAAATTTCCAACTAGATGACATACCAATTATGCAAAGAAAATTAATCGCAGTACAGTTTAAGCAGACACTGACACAGAGGTGGCCCATACACACTCAAAACAACTCACTTTCCACTAAGGGATGTCATTTGGCATGGGAAGGACAAGACAGGTCAAGCATGGACCAACAGAGCTATTGCAGTTACCAGGCTAGTATGAGAGGTCTTCTGAACACCTTCATGTTCCAGATAATTTGCCTGATTATGAGATATTTTCAGTCACCTGGAGGACTAAAGAAGTTAGGCTCCCACTCTACCTACCACAACAAACACCTGGTCTCTCTCCCCCCATTGCAAAGCATTTACTGAAAAGGACCTCGGCTGGATGTCGAAATATGATGACTGCCGTTATTCTTATTTTATCTCATGTGAATATGTGTGCGTGCATGCGTGAGTGTATGTGTTAGAGAGAGAATGTGTGTGTGTAGAGCTCCATGCAGAACAGTTTTAAATGAAGTGCAACATACTGTACTGGAAGAAAGTTCTCACATAATGAGGTTGACTAACAGAAATCAGAGAGTGTGCCTAAGTGGCGTTCCACAAGATCAGTTTTGGTCCTCTTTTTTCTTAATGACTATAGCGAAAGAATTAAAAACGATAAGAACAAAATCGCTGACGACAAAGAACAGGACGAATATTAGATACGGAGGACGAATCATTCTGAAAAGTGGTAGATGCAGTTCAGTGCAGGAAAGTGCAAAGTTCTAATCCTTGAGAGTGAAAATATTGTTCTCTCTAATTAACCAAGTGAGGTAAAGCTTGGTTATACAGAATGAGAAAAATCTGGGGATTCATTGGAAGCAGAAATGTGAAACCAATACAGCAGTGCTAAAGCGTCCATTATGCTAACAAACTGCTTGAATTTATATCAGTTACTGATACTATTAAGTAACTGGAGTCTATAGGTCATTCTATAGTTCTATGCATCATTGATAAGACTTCAATACCTTAACTGGAACAATACACAAATAACTCGCACTCAGGAGGCAAACATTTGATAACGTTTCGGTCCAATTTCGACCATTAACTAGTGACACAGAGGTGGGAAGGGAAGGGAGCCAGAAATATATATATGAGAAGGCAATGAGGGGGGGGGGGAGAGGGTGTTGCCATAAGATTCAACCTCTTAAGTGCGACTTATTTGTGTATCATAAGATTATGTATCATAGATTATGTAGCTCAGTTCTTTTCTCCTTATTACAGAATGGATATAAATACACCGAGAACATATAGAAAAGGGTAACTATATTAAGAGGCTATTAGAAATCTTTTATAAGAAGAAAAAATAAAAGCCCTGAATCTGCACATGAAACAGATTAAGGAAAGATATTGGTAAGATCTGAGTCATCAGTCGAGTTGTCAATGAATGGAGCAAAATGTCAAGTATGGTCACTGAAGTCTTGCTAAATTCTGAGTTAATTAACACTTCTGCAGCTTAGTGTAATAAGATTACCTAATTCCTTGCTTGAATTCGTTCCATCTTATATTTCATCACTCGTAATAGACGTGATCGAATGAATAATCTTGCTAGTCAATAGAAATCATTTAAAACAAGTTTTGGTTTCTTCTTACATGAATGTCATCCTTCTCTCTCTCTCTCTCTCTCTCTCTCTCTCTTTATATATATATATATACAGTGGACCCCCGCATAGCGAACTTAATCCGTGCAAGAGGGCTGGTCGTTATGCGAAATGTTCGCTATGCGAATTAATTTCCCCGTAAAGGAAATAATGGAAATAAATTATCCCTGCAAGGACACCCAAAAGTTATGAAAAAAAAATTTTTGTTACCACAAAAAAAATGTTAATTTTATGTACACACAAACTGAAAAGGCATGCACAATTACTGACAACTTTTTTATTTAAGATCTGGTGATGATTGATGGGATGGGAGGAGGGGAGAGAGAGTGTTAGTGTTTAGAAGGGGAATCCCTTTCCAAATTAGGACTTGAGTAAACAGTCTTTTCGGGGTACTTCCCTTCTTCTTTTAATGCCATAGGACCCGCTTCAGAGTCCTGGACCCCTGGGCGCACAACAAATTCTGTCATAGAGCTCTGTACCTCCCGTTCTTTACGATTTGTCTAAAATTGGCCATAACACTGTCATTGAAATAGTCACCAGCACGGCTTGCAACAGCTGTTTTTCAGGGGATTTTCATCCTAAAGGTTTGAAGTTCAACCCACTGTGATCACATTTCCTTAATTTTTTGAAGTAGCACAATGGATTCCACAAACTGGCTAGGCTTCTTTAGGTTGCCCAAAACCTTCAAAATCTTTCATTAATTTCCAACTATTCTCACCCCTTTTACCACAGTGGTTGGCAACTAGAAAGATTTCTTTGGGCCATGTGTCACTTATTTTCCAGAAACAGCACCAGAAAACACTGTAATAATACGAAATATTCCGAGTGTATGCTTGAATGTTACGCGCGAGGCTGGTGGTAAACAATGGACGCGTCTCGGACCCAAGGTCGCTGAGAGGGTTTTTGTCCACTATGCGGGGCAAAATTTTGGCGAACAAAGCGTTCGGCTATGCGGATTGTTCGCTATGCAAGGCGTTCGCTTTGCGGGGGTCCACTGTATATATTATATATATATTATATATTATATATATATATTATATATATATTATATATTTTATATATATATATATTATATATATTATATATATATTCGTGCCCCAATAGGTAAAACTTGCGATTTTGGCATAAATAGCAACGTTCTTCTTGCCGAATAAGGCAAGCGAAAATTTGGTGTATGAAATAATATCGAAAAAATCTTTCTGAACCTAACGAAAAATATATTTTTCATTGTGTTTATTATTTATTTTTGTAAACCTACTAAAATAATTTAGTGGATTAGACGCTTGTTATAAAATTCTAGGTAAATATATCTTTAAACGTTAAGAGAAAATTTGAAAAATTAATTTAAAATTTAGTTCTTGCTAATTGAAAAATTTTCCAATTCGGCACGACTTATATAACAGTCTTGTGTGAATGAGGGGTGCCCCATCTACCACAATGACTTTTTGCCACGGGCACAAATACTCGGGTTTAGATGCCCACTCTAAAGGCAGCACTCCTTTTTCCCTTCTTCAGTTCTACGGTTTACCTCCCCTTCTAAACCCATCCACGGCAGATCCACTCTCAAAATCTGAACCATTCACTTCTTCTTTTCCCTAACCCCAAATGTGTACCCAAATTTTTTTCTTTCCAAACTCGTTTGATACCCGCATCCTATCTTTATTTTTTTCACTTTAAACCCCTTTCCTTTTACACAAATTTTTTCATTTTCTGAAATAATTACCCTACATTTTTTCCCAAAAATACTGTAAAATCCATGTTTTCCCCACATGACTCGACCTTGGGCGTGGCTGCTGATATATAAAGATCGAATCTGCCTCAGAAATTGTCAGTCGCCTTCACTCTTCACTACAAACATGACTACCCAGGTGTATAAAATTTCTTCCTTTCTGTGAAAATATTTTCTTAATGATTGACGATGCTCGTACATAAAACATTAAGTTGTAGTAGATACAGAATGCGTTTCGCAATAGAGTAATAACTGTGTGTGCCATAGATGTTGCGGTACTATGAGAACGATTTCTTGTAATGTGGATTTGATGATGACTCGCCGTCTCGCTTCGCAGGTTATTGTTCTAACAGTCCTTGTGGTCGCCGCCCTCGCCCGCCCCGAGCCACCACCTACGTATGGACCTCCAGCACCAGCCTACAAACCCCCAGCACACCCACGACCTACTTATGGAGGTCCTGCTTACCCTGACGTAAATATTACCCTAAACTTGACAAGCAACAAAATACTTTAACTATTCTAATTTGCTTGATTTTGTTAATTTTGTAGGAAATTTATTTTAATTTATTTTCACATAGTTTTAAAGTTTCTAGCATTAGTGTTTTGCACTTCTTTTTATTGAAAACGTAGTCTTTACTCAAAGGTCGAAATCTCCTTTTATTTCAAAAATATGGATAGGTAATTCGGTGAGTGTACTCACGAGAGCCAACAAGTAGCAAGGACTGGGAGAGCTTTCCTATTATAATGGTAAACAACACTGATAAATTCGTGAATAAAATAGTTAACAGCATCCTAAGCGACTCACCACCCCAGTCAAGGTTAATGGGCTCAGCAATTTCAATGATATGTATGAGACTGAGCATCTAACAAGATTGAGAGACTTAAAAACTAAAAATACCCATTTCTCCCGCTATCTATTACCAAAATTGCATGTGTATTCGACTGCAGAAGATTGCCGTGCAAGCCAAACGTATAAGCAAGAACGATACGTTTCGTCTGAGCATGTCTTATTCTCTTACTTTATTATACATAGTTTATATGCAATATAATAAATAATATACACATTTGCTTCTTTTGTTTTTCCCACAGACTCCTCCCCAGTACAACTCTCAGTACGCTGTGAGGGACGACTACTCCGGCAACGACTTTGGTCATGATGAATCTCGTGACGGTTACGACACCAAGGGTACTTATTACGTTCAGCTTCCCGACGGTCGTCTGCAGAAAGTGACTTACTACGTCAACGGTGACTCCGGCTACGTAGCGGAAGTTAGCTACGAGGGCGAGGCCCAGTACCCAGCCTACCAGCCTGCTCCAGCCTACCAGCCTGCTCCAGCCTACAAGCCCGCTCCAGCGTACGCATAAACCAATAAAATATATATTTTTATACTCGAATGTATTTATTACTAAATTGGTCTAAATAAAGACTGATTCGCTAAAATACATTTTTAATTATCTCAAGTTTCCTGAATGTAAATTGATGTGTGTATGAAAGACCCCGCTCAGCTGATGCCACTGAAACCATTTTGGATCTTCGACAAATAATAAGCATCATATGACTGCAGTGCGTTAAACTTACATGTAGAAGACAATTTGCATGATTACAAATGAGGTACACTTCGAATTATTGTGACTGTTGACATCCTCATTCTGCGGATCATCCCCATGCGGCTGGGACTCAGACCAGGCATCCTAATTTTCGTACTCGCGATTTGTAAACACCACAAAAATTTAGTACTCCCTTAAACAAAGTTAAGGGTTTATAAGTAATTCTTTGTATATTCAATGAGAACATTTTGAAAAAAGTGTATTCTTAATGCATGTCCATCTGTTCGAATTCTCACTGCACTCCAGTTTTTCACTGTGTATATTTTACACAATTAATATGCTTTAGCCCTTCATTACGAATATTTTTTTTAAAATCCCTGAAGTGTTGCCAAGATCACCTGAAGGTTACTTGAACACTTCTTACTCCCTAGGGATTAGTGGAACACTACTTACTTCCTTGGGAGTAGTGGAACACTACTTACTCCCTGGGGAGTAGTTTAACACTACTTACTTCCTTGGGAGTAGTGGAACACTACTTACTCCCTGGGGAGTAGTTTAACACTACTTACTTCCAGGGAGTAGTGGAACACTACTTACTCCCTAGGGAGCAAGCAGTGTTCCAAACTGAATATTATTTTTGCCTGCCCACCAGAGTATAAATTAAAAGGTTTTAGACATTCTCTATATTATAAATGTTTGGCTGAACTGAAATAGCCATTGGAAGTTGTATGTACATTCGTCAGATTTGCAACTCTGCATCATTTCAATAAATTTGTTAGTGGACATCTTATTATATACATACGGATATTACTTTGAAGAATATCATTGGCTTTACACTACTTCCTTTAAATGTTGTTGTTATCTAGATTATTATTTTGTAAGTGGTCGTGATGGAAAATTCACTGTGTTACTTAAATGTGAGTTCTTTCGAACTCATTCATTACCTTTCGAACTCATTCATTACTCGTAAACTTATATAAAAGGTTTAATTGCGGTCTGTACTCTGTCAATGCTTTGTACTCTGTCAGTACTTTCTACTGTCAGTGCATTGTACTCTGTCAGTGCTTTTTCCATAACAGAGCAGCTGAAATTTGTTGTCTCACCCTTGTACGTAGTTCAGCTATCAAAACTTTGGGGGCCCAGTCCTTGGACCCATTACGTACCTCCGTAATCTGTAAATATCTTTGTAACTTGTCATGATTGTGACCAGACCTACCTGGAGTTCATTACCTTTGTAAATTGTGAGTTCATTACCTTTGTAAATTGTGAGTTCATTACCTTTGTAATTGTGAGTTCATTACCTCTGTAACTTGCTCAGCTATCAAAACTTTGGAGTCCAGTCCCTGGACCAATTATGTACCTCTGTAATCTTTTGACTACCGCCCACAGGATGGGTATGGAGTGCATAACAAACATATTAAACTAACTCATGTGTTAGAATTTCCTGGGTCCCACTTGAACATTTAGTTTACGTCACAATGAAGGTTCTCTGTTTCCCTGATAAATAATACGAATCTACAGATTACATTGTCTGCAGCAGATTTTACCCTGTAAGCTTATTGTATTTTTGTAGTGTCATCTATATAAAGAAAAGTGTGTGGGGTACTGTGTCATGATCGGAGCTTCCTTCCGTTCGAAATTACAAACTGTATTGAATAAGTCTCCTTGGATTTTATTTCCTAGAAAGACTATTTTCTGTGGCTTGAGTATCAGTGTATGGGTGAACATACATTAATTTTTAAGGCCCTGTAATATTTATGGATATTTACATCCAGAAATGGAGTAATGTAAATCACTTTCCTGGGAAAATTTAAGAAAACATTAAGATATTTATATATGTGTCGTGCCGAATAGATAAACTTATGATTTTGGCTTAAATAGCAGAGCTTTTTTTGCCGAATAAGGCAAATAATAAGGCGAAAATTTGTGTAAAAATAATTTCGCAAAAATCATTTTGAACCTAACGAAAAAATATAATTCAATGTGATTGTTTATTATTAAATTACTGTAAATTTATCTAAAATATATTTAGCTGGAGTAGACTAAAAAAAACTGAGCTTTTTATAATAAGGTTAGGTAAGTTTTCTAAGGTTCTTTTGGTACAAAATTGTTAATTTTTATGTTAACATAAATGAAAAAACATCTCTTTAAACGTATAAGAAAATTTTAGAAAGGACTTTATTTTAAAACGCGTTCTTGTTATCTGACCAGTTTTACCTATTCCGCACGACATATATAATATTTCAGATTTTTAGGGATTATCTCTTGAAAATAATTTACACTATATAATTTCCCAAATACAGTAAAATACCAAGAATTCCCCGTCACATGACCTTGGGCGTGGCTACTACTATATAAAGCTCGAATCTGCCTCAGAAATTGTCAGTCGCCTTCACTCTTCACTACCAATATGATACCAAGGTGTATATCATTTCTTCATTGCTGGGAAAATATTTTCTTGACGATTGATGTTACTCGTATATAGAGCACTTAAGTTGTAGAAGACACAGAATGTATTACGCAATAGAGTAATAATTGTGTGTGCCATAGATGTTGCAGTACTATGAGAACGATTTCGTTTTAATGTGGATTTAATGACGACTCGCCGTCTCGCTTCGCAGGTTATTGTTCTAACAGTCCTTGTGGCTGCCGTCCTCGCCCGCCCCGAGCCACCACCTACATATGGACCTCCAGCACCAGCCTACAAACCCCCAGCACACCCACGACCTGCTTATGGTGCTCCTGCTTACCCTGACGTGAGTTTTAACATTAGCTCCGCAAGCAGCTTAATGCTTTAACTGTTCAAAAACTATTCTCATGTGATTGCTTTTGGGAATCTGGATGGATTTTTTTAAATTGTTTTCTAATAATTTTAATGTTTCTATCATTATTTTCGGTCACATCTTTTTCAATCACATCTAAGAGACTGGGTACCTTCTAAGAAGACTGAGAAATTGAATAATTCAAAATCCTCACTTCTCCCACTATCTCCAGTATCTGACGAAGGCTACTGTTCGGACGAAATACATTGCAATAACGATACATTTCGTCTGCGCAGGTGTCCTATTCTGTTACACTTTTCCTATACATAGTTTATAATAGGTATAAAATATAATATACATATTTACTTCTTTTGTTTTTCCCACAGACTCCTCCCCAGTACAATTCCCAGTACGCTGTGAGGGACGACTACTCCGGCAACGATTTTGGTCATGATGAATCTCGTGACGGCTACGACACCAAGGGTACTTATTACGTTCAGCTTCCCGATGGTCGTCTGCAGAAGGTGACTTACTATGTCAACGGCGACTCAGGCTACGTAGCGGAAGTGAGCTACGAGGGCGAGGCCCAGTACCCAGCCTACCAACCTGCTCCAGCCTACAAGCCAGCTCCAGCTTACAAACCCGCTCCAGCGTACGCATAAACTGACAAAAAAATATTTTTTATATTCGAATGTATTTATTACTAAAATGATCTGAATAAAGACTATTCAATTAAATGTAATTTTAAATACGTCCTGTTTGCTGAAGGTTAGTGATGTATGTATGAAAGTTCTTGTTCAGCTGATGCCTCTGAAACCATTCATTTTGGATCATCTTCACATATAAACACAAAAGATTTCAGTGTGTTACATGTAGCAAGACGATTTCCTTGACTACAAATAACGTTCACCTCGACTTTGGGTTCATATGAATATCACATTGATTGTCTATAAAATATCCTCACTCTGAGTATCATCGCCCATGCGGCAGAGACTCAGACCGCTGATCCTAGCGTAGGTGCTCGCAACATGTAAACACTACCACCTCCAGTGATCCTAGTGTAGGTGATCGCAACATGTAAACACTACCACCTCCAGTGATCCTAGTGTAGGTGCTCCCAACATGTAAACACACCACCTCCAGTGATCCTAGTGTAGGTGCTCGCAACATGTAAACACTACCACCTCCAGTGATCCTAGTGTAGGTGATCGCAACATGTAAACACTACCACCTCCAGTGATCCTAGTGTAGGTGCTCGCAACATGTAAACACTACCACCTCCAGTGATCCTAGTGTAGGTGCTCGCAACATGTAAACACCACCATCTCCAGTGATCCTAGTGTAGGTGATCGCAACATGTAAACACTACCACCTCCAGTGATCCTAGTGTAGGTGATCGCAACATGTAAACACTACCACCTCAAGTGATCCTAGTGTAGGTGATCGCAACATGTAAACACCTACCACCTCCAGTGATCCTAGTGTAGGTGCTCGCAACATGTAAACACTACCACCTCCAGTGATCCTAGTGTAGGTGCTCGCAACATGTAAACACTACCACCTCCAGTGATCCTAGTGTAGGTGCTCGCAGCATGTAAACACTACCACCTCCAGTGATCTTAGTGTAGGTGCTCGCAACATGTAAACACCACCACCTCCAGTGATCCTAGTGTAGGTGCTCGCAACATGTAAACACCACCATCTCCAGTGATCCTAGTGTAGGTGATTCGCAGCATGTAAACACCTACCACTCCAGTGATCCTAGTGTAGTGCTCGCACATGTAAACCACCATTCCAGTGATCCCTGTAGTGCTCAGCATGTAACACCCCTCATGTCTAGTTAGGTGCTCGCAGCATGTAAACACCACCACCTCCAGTGATCCTAGTGTAGGTGCTCGCAGCATGTAAACACCACCACCTCCAGTGATCCTAGTGTAGGTGCTCGCCAGCATGTAAACACCACCACCTCCAGTGATCCTAGTGTAGGTGCTCGCAGCATGTAAACACCACCATCTCCAGTGATCCCACTGTAGGTGCTCGCAACATGTAAACACCACCACCTCCAGTGATCCTAGTGTAGGTGCTCCCAGCATGTAAACACCACCACCTCCAGTGATCCTAGTGTAGGTGCTCGCAGCATGTAAACACTACCACCTCCAGTGATCCCAATGTAGGTGCTCGAAGCATGTAAACACCACCACCTCCAGTGATCCTAGTGTAGGTGCTCGCAGCATGTAAACACCACCATCTCCAGTGATCCATGTAGGTGCTCGAACATGTAAACACCACCACTCCAGTGATCCTAGTGTAGGTGCTCCAGCATGTAAACACCACCACCTCCAGTGATCCTAGTGTAGGTGCTCCAGCATGTAAAACCACCAGCCCCAGTGATCTATGTATGACACGCAGTATTAACCCACTCAAGTTATGTAGGGTCAGTATGTAAAAATTCAGTGATTAGTTTTCAGCATGTAAACACACCACCATCATGATTCCTATGTAGTGTTCCCATATGTATAACACCACATGCCAGTTCTAGTTGTCAGGTCTGATATGTTAGACACACATCTATCAGTGTGTTCGCACATGTAATACGAATATGATCTGTGTAGTGTCCTGTAGTTTAAACAACACTTATCTAGTTACTGACACTACCCGATCACGCCATCGTTAAAACACACTTCCATTCTCACTGTCGTGCTCCAGAGTAACACACACCTCGAGACTTTGTAGTGATCATGTACACACTCCAGTTGTCGTGTAGGGCCGAACATAGTAAACAACAAGTCCTATGACTTGTGGGTGTGAAGATGTTACAGCACCAAGTGATCAAGGTAGGTGTGAAATGTCAAGAAACCTCATGATTCCTTGTAGTTTTCATGCAGTAAAACAATATCCTAGTGTAGTTCACCAGAATGTGTAAAACACACACTCCAGGTTGTGAGGTGCTCGCAGAGTAAACACCTCGTGTCGGTGGTCTGCACTGTAAAACAAGCCAGGTACATAACCACATAGACTCTCAAAACGTTAGTATGCGATATGAATTTATTATATGGTTAAAAACACATTAAAATAATTTTTCTCTTTATTGTATCCATGTGGATTCTATCCTTACATTTTATACATGTATATTCTACACTCAGTGATGCACTTTTTACATAGGTAAACCTGCTTCGTTATAGTTCCTAAATATCCAATCACGTATCTCCCGGCAAAGATCACTCTCAATGTGCCAGTAAAAGCAGATTTAGACATGTTCATGAGGATCTGTTGTCTTCAGCAGAACATAGAATGGGGAAGAAATGTGATCTAATGACTTTGAGCGTGGAATGACTTGTGGCGCCAATAAGGTGGTTGAGTATTCAGAAACTTTGATTCCTGAATTTTCATGCAACACAATAATTTAGGTTCACAGAGACTGTGTGTGAAAAACAAACATCCAGTGAGCGGCAGATTTGTCGGTGTCCGAAATATAATCACACTCTTATGATTCTGAAGAATGGTTCAGTCAGGTGAAAATCACAGATGACAGTTTTTTATTTTATTCTGGGTTATCTTACAATATCCGTATTTACAACAGGGCCTATCAGGAAACCTGCACTCGTAATTCAAATCAATCAGATCTTCACGTGGAAGGCTACACAATGCAAAAGCACAGACAGCATGAGGTTCATTTATTCAGACAGAAACTAGAAGGGAGACAGTGGATCAAAGTGACTTTGCCGTGAATGATTCTGTGACCAGAAGGAATGTGTGATATCTCAAACAAATGTGATATGAATTTCGCATCACAATAATTTCTATGTTCAGAGATGTGTTGAAATAACACATACACTCTTCAAGTGAGGCACTGTGCGTTCTGGCCGAATCCATGATAATGAGAAGGTTCAGTTTAGGAAAATCCAGACTGACAATGTGACGGTAACTCAATCACGCATTACAACAGAGGTATGTAGAAGAGCATTTCTGAACTCACAAGTCAGATCTTGAGGTGGATAGGCTACAGCAGCAAAAGACAACACTGGGTTCCACTCTTCTCAGCTAAGAACAGGAAACTGAGGATCACCAAAACTGGACACTCTGGCCGTCTATTACCGAAGAAAGGTGATCCCCCCCTCCAAACCAAAAAAGAGATTCAACACACCCATCACAGATTCATCCTCTGTCTTGCCAGATAGTTTTGCAAACTTTTATATCCTCACCCGTCTTTCGAAGTGAAGGCACTGTGCTTCCTGCCTCCAGGACTCAACGTAGGCTAATTGTTTTCCCTTCAGGAAACTTACGTTGCTCACACTCCGTATAGCCCAGATTTCTTCAACTTGTTTCTGAAAAAAATAGTTTGCCCACCGTAATTATATAAATACAGTGATATAACCAGCATTCCCCACGTCACACGACCTTGGGCGTGGCTGCTGATATAAAAGGTTCAGGTGTGCCTCAGAATCTATCAGTCGCCTTCTCTGTTCACTACCAGCATGACTACGAAGGTCCACATTTTCCTTCCTTCATGTGAATATGTTGATGATTGATATTACTCGTATATTTAACATGACTAAATTGCAGAAAAATCAGTAACCGTTACATAAACTAATTATTTGTGTCATAAAGGTGCCAGTAATTTTGTTAGGTGTGTTTAATGACTGTCACCGTCTCCTATTGCAGGTTTTAGTTCTAACAGTTCTTGTGGCTGCCGCCCTTGCCCGCCCTGAGCCACCACCTACATATGGACCTCCAGCACCAGCCTACAAACCCCCAGCACACCCACGACCTGCTTATGGTGCTCCTACGTACCCTGACGTGAGTATAACCCTTAAATAGAAATTCCCAAGCAGATAAATACTTTAATTTTTGTTATATGAATGTTTTAATAATTATTTCTAGAGGAAATATCTTTTTCTAATTTTCACGTAAATTTAGATTTTCTAATATAACAAGTTTGCTGCTTCTACGATTTTGAGAAACATTATTTCTTTTATTTAAAGATTAACATGTCTTAAGAAAACAGCAATAAATTTTCCGAGTTTTCACCGGAAAGTCAGCGAGCAACAGGGATAGACACTAATATGTTATGTAATTTATCATATACACTTTTAAACATTGGCTAGTGCTATTTTTGCCCCCACAGACTCCTCCCCAGTACAACTCTCAGTACGCTGTGAGGGACGACTACTCCGGCAACGACTTTGGTCACGACGAATCTCGTGACGGCTACGACACCAAGGGTACTTATTATGTCCAGCTTCCCGACGGTCGTCTGCAGAAGGTGACTTACTACGTCAACGGTGACTCCGGCTACGTAGCGGAAGTGAGCTACCAGGGTGAGGCTCAGTACCCAGCTTACCAGCCTGCTCCAGCCTACAAGCCAGCTCCAGCCTACAAGCCAGCACCAGCCTATAAGCCAGCTCCTGCCTACCAGCCTGCTCCCTCTTATGCTTAAACAAATTTTAAAAGGTCTATATCTGTTGTACATATTTCTTATTGTATTTATTGCCATAATAGTGTAAATAAAGAATAATGCATCAAGTAAATTATTACTCGTCTCCTGAAGGTAGAAGGTAAGTACATGTGTATATGTGTGTTTATTTTCTGTAGTTATTAAAAGTGTTATATTTAAAGTATTTAGTATAATGATAATCAGGGATATATAATAAGGATCATCAGATTGTCGTGAGTTTTGCACGAAAGTCGCTGGATAATCTGAATGAATATAAATGTTGGGAATATCGACATGAGACAAAAGCAAGACTCACAGTGACTGTCTGATGCCGAGGATCATCGTTCAAGCGTTCTTGCCTCAGCTCTGGCTCTCTGGTTGATATAGGAACGTAAGAAAGGAGGAACGCTGCAGCAGGCCATACTAGGCGGGTCCTCCTCAAACTCCAACCTACTTAACAAAATTATTTGCCCAACTCATTTTCATTGCTAACCAAGGAATAAGCTTTGATAACCCTACCAGTTCAGTCAATAGTTATCAAAGCTTGTCGGTACCGCCATACCATTTTTCACAGCCTGGTTGATGGGGATAACGAGAGATCCATATCAAATTCCCTCCTAAAAAGAGTTAGGAATTTATTGTTTGTTCCTAATATTTGTGAAAGGTGTTGAGAAGCTTTTGGCTCTTTGTTCTCATTGAGCTCTTTGTACTTTCATCTGAGTTCTTGTTTTTATTGTGATTATTTGTTTTAATCAGTTCTTGCAGTGTGTAAAAGGTATAAGTTATGACACATTTTTCTTGGCTGCACAACAGAATGTAAAATTTTAGCGGTTTCAGCAAGTTGCAATAATGAAAGAGTCTGACTAGAATTATTTGGTCTGTAAGAGTTATCTGCGCACTTTCTATAACAGCGATTTTGCAAAATTTAAATAAATATGTTAGTGCACAGCAATAGTCTAGTGTAAATAATATTGTTGCCTTGAAGAGTATAATCATTCTCTGTACATCATTATATTATTTATGGGGAAGTATTAAACCCACTAGAGTCATAAAACTGTAGGAGAATGAGAGGCATTCATGTTTGATCTACGGAAGGGGAGGGTAGCTTCAATTCCTCTGACAGCGAGCTCTTCACTGTCAACAAGGTGACACCACCTTGGGAGTATAGCCTTAGGATTTCTTCCTCTGAAGGTTCTTGTTATTCAGTCTTTTACTGAATTTGCAGAGCTAAGGGTAAATTTGTGTTCCCTGATTGTAGGATATTTGGACATAGTTATTCCTATATCCCTCACATTCTTCGATGGAGGACTTCGATTGCACATACTCTGTTGCAATCATTTCTCTGTGGCTGAAAAGCTGTAATTTCTCATCTTTAAACCTGTATTTTCAGTGGTTCATTGGACGTCTTGGTTGACGTTGGCTTGGAGATTTACTTCGTCCTGGATGGATGCTGTTCTTACAGATTCTGGTATCATCTGGGAGGGATCTGATCTTAAACAATAATTATTGTATTTGTAATAGCATCAGACATTAAAATGAGAACTGATTTTATGATCTAATTCTCTTTCGATCTGAAAATAAATGTCATGTTGATACCGACAAGAAGTAGGAAAAGACACATACAGTTCAGGACATTTATTAAGGAAAACGCTGCGTCCCGAGTAACTTCTTCAGTCCTGATGAAGTGGACATGTCAGTCACGGTGAAGTGTTTCCTATAATTAATATCTTGAAGTTAGCGTCTTTTTTTTCCATTCTTTGGATTTTGTATCCTAAAGATGTGGATCCATCTGCTCAATTTCCCAAGAATTTCTTCGTCACATACTTTTTATATTGCATTATGGTCACACTTGATTTTGCTCCTGTACTTAACGCGGTGCTTTCAAGCTGACTTAAGTCATGTAACATAGGTTACGTGACCTTCCTATGAAAGGTGTATCCCTCGATTATTTCTGCTGTGCTTACTGAGTGCAGTAGTGGGAATTAAGCATTCACAGTTGTCTATGTTTTACAGTAGAGTCAGTGACTACCCGACCTTTCCAAGTGTCCTTAGACACATGTGGAAGCCACTCAATCTTGTTATGAGCCATTAGTGACCACTATTTTGACACGGCAACCTCATTATGTCTGCGTCAGGTAATGGCTTAACTTACGAAAGAGACCCGTGTCAGGTGACTTTTTCCTGATTACTCAGCCAAAAGCAACACAACAGATTTTAATCTGCTGAAAAGGGCCTCGTTGGCCGACTGAAATATATAACACATCTTCTAATCACTTTCATTTTATTTATATTGATAGTTTGATAATTCGATCGGAAAACAGCAGATTAAAAAAAAGGCCACTAGGTCTTGAGTATTAAAATTAAACAAATATGAAGACAGGGACCATCAAAATCAATTTGGGTCATCAGTAACAATTTGTACCAGCATGATCGGAGACCTTCGGATCCTGGGGCAAACGTAGAACCATAGAACCCATAGAACCCATAGAACCCAGGGCTGTCATTTCCAATTTTAACATCATAGTGTGGCGATTCAGAGGGAAAATACCTGTTGAACTCTTCGTTTCTATCGAACTTCTGAGGACCTACAGGAGATTCAAAATTTTTTTTTTTTGAATACTGAATCGTTGTAGACATGATTGTGCTAGTAAAACAAAGTTTTTTAAATGAAAGTGAGTGAAGACAAGCGGATTTTGGGATTTGGCTTGATACAGGAGTTTGAGAAAAGTAACATTTAAGAAGCAGATCAGAAAAACTGGGTTGCCGGACTTGAGTTCCGGAGGAAGTCAACTCGTTAGAGAAAACTCTATGTGGAATTCTCACAGATAGTTTGAAGTAACTTTCTCGGTTTAAGTTATTTAGGTAAAATTAGATTAGGTTTATTAAGTTTAGATTGTTTCCTGTCAATAAAAATTATCCAGCTATTACCACAATGACCATAAATGCAATATAAAAGGCGAAGAAAGCTTTGACTTGCGAACAAATAACGGGAAGCCACCGAGCACAATAGAAGACTTAAAGTCAGATAATCACTGTTTAAAATTCGTTAAACCGTTACAAATTTGTCTGCTGTAACAACAGTGATATACTGTCTGTTATTAAGAGAACGAACAGGAGAAGTACAACGCTTGGTTAGCATCTTGCCTTTCACAAGGTCATTTAATAACCTTTAAACTGTCCAAGCAGATCTACGTTCACATGCGTAGTGCTCCAAAAGTAGATCTACGTTTTTTTTTTTTTTTTACATATTTTCAAATATAACAAAAAAAAGTAGATCAAAGCTTTTTACACGTTTTCAAATGTAAAAAAAAAAATCTACTTTTTTACATACTTTCAAATGTTGAAAAAACGTAGATCTACGTTTGGACAGTTTAAGGGTTAAATTGTGATATCCACACACATTTGACAAGACAGAAACTAAACGAACGATGATGAACGTAATACCTTCTTTGGTTCAGTACCTATTTTGGAAAGCAGCAGATTTAGCAAAAAAAAAAATCATATCTTTATAAATTTACACAAATAATTTCACATATTTTTGGGACATTTCAGGAAAATCATTTACCCTACATAATTTTCTGAATACAATGAAACAGCAAGAAATCAACGCGTCACGTGACCTTGGGTGTCGGTTGCTGATATAAAAAGCTGGAGTCTGCCTCAGAAATTGTCAGTCGCCTTTACTGTTCACTACAAACATGACTACGAAGGTGTATATCTTGTTTACTTTCAGTGAAAATGTGCTGTCCGTGGTTGATTAATGTAAATATATAATATATATTTATATATATATATATATATATTATATAATATATATATATAAAATATATAATATATATATATATAATATATATATATATATATATATATATAAATGTGTGTGTGTGTGTGTGTGTGTGTGTGTGTGTCATAAATTGCAGAAAAAAGTATCTATTATACATCAGAGTAATAATGGTTTGTGTCATAGATTTTGCAGTAACCGAACCACGATTTTGTTGCTACGTGGATTTCATGTCAATTCTCGTCATCTCGCTTCGCAGGTTATTGTTCTAACAGTCCTTGTGGCTGCCGCCCTCGCCCGCCCTGAACCACCACCTACATATGGACCTCCAGCACCAGCCTACAAACCCCCAGCACACCCACGACCTGCTTATGGCGCTCCTGCGTACCCTGACGTGAGTATAAACCTTAAAAAAAGGTACTTTACATTTAGCTGTATTATTTAGCTATTTTAATAGGATTACTTTTAATAACCGCTTTTAATATAAATATAATTTTGTTTACATTTCACGTAATTTTATTTTCAGATTACAAGCCTTTTGCTGCTCTGTTTTCTTCGATATGGTCCCTGGCGAGCCAGCGATTAGAAAGCAATGCCACACCTTCGGTAGAGGCAGCTAATATGCAATTTAAGATACTGTATAAGAAAATATGACTATTTTTTTCCACAGACTCCTCCCCAGTACAACTCTCAGTACGCTGTGAGGGACGACTACTCCGGCAACGACTTTGGTCATGACGAATCTCGTAACGGTTACGACACCAAGGGTAGTTATTATGTCCAGCTTCCCGACGGTCGTCTGCAGAAGGTGACTTACTACGTCAACGGCGACTCCGGCTACGTAGCAGAAGTGAGCTATCAGGGCGAGGCTCAGTATCCAGCCTACCAGCCTGCTCCAGCCTACAAGCCAGCTCCAGCTTACAAACCAGCTCCAGCCTACCCATAAACCAATATAAAAATATATATAATTTCTTTATATATCCGAATATATTTATTGCTAAATGATATGAATAAAGGCTAATACATTAAAATACAAATTTAATTGTGTCCTTTATGCCCGGTGTAAGTGAACGTGTGTAAGAGGTAGACTGTTGAGTTGTTGTCACTGAAATCATTCAAATTGAAGGTATTATATATTTTTATAATGAAGTATAAATACGTATCATCAGAATGAATTGATTGTTAAGTGCTGCAAGATGATCATCAAGAAAACAAATGTTGTACACATCGACTTTTGGAAACAAGAGAATAATTGAGGACCTCGTGATTCTGAGAATCATCA